ACGGCACGTGGTGTTCCCAAGCGGTCACCCATCCAAGTACTAACCACGCCCGATGCTGCTTAACTTCGGTGATCGGACGAGAACCGGTGTTTTCAGCATGGTATGGCCGTTGACATCCACAAATTCCATCACACGTCTTTATATGATAGCTTCCATTGAATTCGTGTGTATAATTTGTTTATAACAAATTTATTTATTTATTTATTTAAGGTGGTAAAAGGTAAAGTGACCACGAGATGTTTATGGAATGCATGCAAAGCTTTAAGCATTGGATTGTTACTTTTGACAATCGGTACATCTATGGCAGTAGTTGGTAAGTTATTATTTAATCAAATAAGTTTGTTATTGATTTGTTTGTTGTTTGTTTTAAAAATCTTTTTGTTTTTCTTTAACGCCATTTTAACAGCCGATGTTTTTTTTTTTTTTTTTAAATTCAACACTTAAATAAATTCACTTAAAAACTTAATGGTTTGAATAAAGAAAAACTTTTTTTTTGTTTACTAAAGACGACGACTCTTTACACTATTGTTTATTTAAAATGGTTAAAAACTTTTTCCAAAGAGAGAAAGACAGAGAGAGAGAAAAGAAAATGTATAAACCAACAAAAAGAAGAAATCGACTGGAAAAATAATACGATTCGAAAAATGTTTAAAATTTAAAATAAATAAATAAATAATTCTTAAATACGACAATTATTTTTATCTATTGTTGTTGTTATTGTTCAGTTATTATTCTTTTTTTTTTTACCGAATTTTATTATTATTATTTTGAGAATGTTTAAGATGAAAATTTGTATCGAAAAATTTTTATTAGAAAATATAAATCAATGTTATTAAAAAAAGAAAAGGAAAAATGTTGACAAATTTGACGTAAAAATTTTTATTAAAAAAAAAAAAAAAAATTTTTTTAATATTTTTACATGTGAAAAAACCCGATGGGGGGGGGTGAGGAGGGGGGATAGACAATAAAACGAAGAAAAAATTAATTAATATTTCTTTTAAAATTTTCCCTCCCCCCCAAAAAAAAAAGAAATTTTTTTTATACCAAATTTTTAATTTTACAACAACATGAAAAAAAAAAAAGTTAATTTTCATTTCTCTTCATTTTTAATTTTAACCTTTTAACAAAGAAAATATTTTAAATTTAAAACGAAATTTTCATTTAGAACCTTTTCATTTGTCTTATTATTATTATTATTTAAAAAAAAAATAAAAAATTTGAATTCATTTGTTAAATTTTCCTCGGGTTTTTCCGACTTTTAACTTTTTTGTTTTTTTTAAATGAAAAATAATTATCAAAAAAAAAACAGGTTTTACACGTTTGTTGATGTTGTCCTTGTTTCTTTATAAAGTAATTAAAAAATAATAATAATAATGATTATTATCAAAATTCTAAAATAAAAAAAATGACAAAAAAAAAGATTTTTTCCTTTTGTTTGTTATTTTTTGATTGTCGCTTTATTATTTATTTATTTATTTTTTTAGGATATTACGCCGATCAATTATCAATAAGATCGGAAAAGCGAGGAAATTCTACGGTTAAAATAAAAAACGAAAGTCAAGGATTTCATTTAAATAATTTATCATATGCAGGTCCGATCATTATGGGAATTGGAGGTAAGTGAGTGGTGGGGGAAAAAAAAAAATTTTTTTCGAAATCGATAAATAACATGTGTTAAAAATTGAAAAAGGTTTTTTTTTTTTTCGACCTGAAATTTTTTTAATAAATTTATTATAACGTCGAAAAAAAAAGTAATAATAAATTAAAAAATTTTTTCCCTCCTTTTTTTATCTACAAACGATTGAAAAAATATATATATATTATCAGTGCAACGTAAATATCGGAAATTGAAATTTTAAATCATACCTTTTGCCCCCCGTTCCTTATCCCCCCATTCAATAATTTCTAATCTTTTTCTTATATCCAATGGATCCTTAACGAAATTGTCAGTACGTATGCCAAGTAAATTACGATCGAAAAAATTTTTATTCGATATTCTCCCTGTTTTTATTTTATATATTTTTATATCGTTTATTTTTTTAAATTTTATATTTTTTACAAGTTTTCAAAACTATAAAAAAAAAAAAAAATAAGGATTAAAGTTATGCTGCAGTGATAAAATC